TTTTTTTTTTTTTTTTTTTTGAAACAAGGAGGTCATGCTTTAAAGTCGCAACATCAGCCCTTAACTTAGAAGGTACACACCTACAATTGTTCATTTAGGCATATATAGTTTAAAAGAAAAAATAAAAAATAAAATCGTACTAAAAAAATGTGTACATTAAGTCTCCATCTGAAAATTCAAGAAAGACGTAATTTAAAATCAAGATACTTCATAACAAAGAAATGCATATCGTCATAAGTTAATTGACATACATAAAGGGTAAAATTATTATAGCACTAAAAGTGGATGATGTTAAATAATTCATGGAGGATAGGAACATGTACTGATTGAAAATCAGGAAACTATTTGAATCAATCTCATGCCACAGATGATCCACCAAATGTTAAACCAGAATTGAACATACATTCTAAGGCCCAATTTTTAAAGAAATTGGAAGAAATGGCTATTATGAAAAATAGCCAAGAATTGTTTTCTTATGAAATATGGCCACGGCATTTTTAGGGGCACATTTTCCTTCCATTTTTAACCTTGTAAGCAACTTGATGAATAGGCTTCTTAACTTGTGAGTGCGTAACCAAAGATACATATTTTCCAAATTTTAATTTCACAACCCCTGGAATTGTGTAATTAATTTTTAAATTTCACATTGCCTTTCCAAATCTAATAAACTTATTGTATATTATAAAATTGATTCAAACCTTTTACGGTTTATTTCTTTCCAAGTCTAAAATCTAAATACACTATTTTCTATTGTGGCAACCTTCACGATATTTCTTCAGTCAGTTGCATCACCAACTCCATTGATTACTTTCAATTTTCTATCAACTTTTAGATATCTAGATTATTGGTATACTAGGAATCCTAGTATTGAAGTTTCTATCTACCCTAAATTTTCAATGAGATTTAATGATCTCACAAAATTATGAAGTGTTCTTACTCATTTGTATGCATGATGATTACCCCTCAGATTTTTTTTAACAAGACTAAGAACATTTGTTTTGAAGATTTGGTTTGATCCTGTTTTAAATGTTCCCAAAATATTAGGTATTTGCATGTATGAAATTCTAATATTTTTTAAAATTCAACTAAATATTTCTATTATGTGAAAGTTAGATTTTGAGAAAATTAAATCTAAGTTTATTTTTCAACTTTCCAGGTTTTAAATATGCCTCAATTTTGAATTAAGTTTTAGTAATTGTAAGAAATCTTCATGCTTATTTGGGTATGAGATTAGTTGTTTTAGATTTGATTTTATATCTATTTTTAACTACCAAAAAATTTTGATATTTTGTTGTCCACATGATCCCTTGATTTATGAGATTTGTTTTAATTACTCAAATTCCAAGATTTAGATCCATATTTTGCTAAATAATTCCTAATTAATATTCGATTATACTGTTTGCTAACTTATCCAATAAAAAGGTCAGTTGGACACATTTCAAAACCTGCACTAAAATTTGGTCATTCATGTTGCTATCCCTAGTTTTTAAAGTTTTCCTATATATGACATATCCCATTCTCATCTTATTATATGCTGAGACAGATAAGATGACTGGTAAAGTTTTTAAACCATGTAAGTGATGTGGATGATACGCATAATAATACTACTAAAGATACAAATGTCAGATAAATTTCTAGACTTATCAGCCTGAGAGTGCATATGTTATTTACAATCAAATATTGCTTCTCCAAGTATTCAGTAAGATGAAACTCTAGCACTCAAATCTCATGAAAACTGTATCTCTAGAATATTTATATTAACTATTAGTGCTGATGGAGGAAGTGAAAACTCCAAAAGAAAGACATGAAATAACAAACGGAAAGAGAAAGGAATGTCACTAGGAGAAAAAATTAAAAGAGAAAGGAAAAGCAACTTAAAATTGTTCAATGAACCTTCCTAACCAATCATCGTCTACAGTCCAAAAGTGGGTCCACACATTTAAGAATAATGGGGTAATGGGCATCCATAACTTCAAATTTTAATTTTTAAATCAATTTTACATGAAAATGACGAAATATTTTTAAAAGAACTGATAAAGTAATATAGATACCGTATGAACAGGGGTCCATCGCTCACTAGCAAGCTCATAGCCATTGGGATCATCACCAGGAGGATGAAGGATTGAAATACAAACACGCCCATCAGGATAAACTACAATTTAGTAAACAACTTCAATCTCAAAATGCTTCAATGAGAAGAAATAGAACATCAAATAATATAATAACAAGAGTAACAGACCATTAGGATGCCAAAGCTCAGAAGTAAACTTCACAGACGGAGGACTATTAGGATAATTTGATGGAAAACTCATAATGGCATTAAAGAAACCCCCCTCGCTGCAATAAGATTATTATAACATCGTTAGATAGATATTCCGACATTAACCAGTACAAGAATAACCAAACTAACTTCACGTGGTCAAGGCTGGAAAAATATTAGAACATCCAAACATCCGCAAATTAGAATTTAAGGGCGTTTCCTTCCCAGATTCTGGAAGGAGAGAAAGTAAAAACAAGAAGTGGGCAATGAAGGACGCAAAATAACAGTAACTAGACTAAAGCACAAGAGAAATAAGGTAAATCAATACCTAAAACATTAAAGGCATTAAAATCTCCCAATTCTAATCCAAGAACAAGATAAGGAAAAAAAAAACCCCAACTCCCGAAAAATTAAACAAAGGCCACAATCCCAAATCTTAATTAAATTCAATACAAACCAACAATACCAGGTAATAACAAACAGTATAAACCCTAAACCAAACCAAACCAAACAAAACGGTCACATCTACAAAACAAAAACGAAAATTCGTAGCAGTATACACATACTAAAGCGTATCAGGGGGGCCAATAATCGTGACACTCCATTCAAATATATTGCTCTCATCGACAAGACCAGCGGAGAAGCCATCGACGGGGTTCTTGCAGAGATCTGAAAGGCATGAAACAGAAGGTAACAGGACAGTTGAAAAAGGAACATCGAAATAAACCCTACGAGTCGAGGATTTCACAGAATCAGATTAAGAGAATCGAATTCATGAAAATAAAATCCACCTTTAAGCTGCTTCTGAAGGAGGAGACTTGCTTGAGAAACAGCCATGGAAGAACGGTTGGATTCGGCGAGACCTTCGAGCTCCTCGATTGCGAACGAACGGAAGAGGAAGAGGAAGAGAGAGAGAGAGAGAGTAAAGAAATCGCTCCGTTACGTTATTTATAATTATATAGACGAAAGTTTACGGAATGTGGACTCTTTGGCCTGTGTGGGTCGGGAATGGAAAAGAAAAACGAATAATCGCCAATGAGAGCATGCCACGTATACGCATTCGGAATCTCATGCATCTCTACGGTCCGAGTACCCCACTGGATTTTAACTAATTATTCTCCCTTCCACTTCACTGAACGCATATCTTTTCCAAAAATTTAATAAATATATTCTTTTAGATTCGTCAAAATTAATATATTAATAAATAATATCAACAAATTAATATTAATAAATATCAATGACGGTTAAGATTTTCATCTCTTTCATCAGATTTGCCTATTCACTTCTCACCAAATTGCTATTAGATTTTAATTGACACAAAGATTGTATAATTGTAATTTAATAAACATTTATAAAAAAATAAGTTTTTAACAGAAAAAAGTATATTATAAAAAAATCTCATAAACTCGATAATTTAAAATGACTCGTACAAAAAACGCAACTTTCCTATTCTATGAAACAAAGGTGTGAAAGATAATATTAGGAGGTCGGAGGAACCAATTCTCTATATTCGAAAATTGAAATAGAAAGATGATTTGAAAAATAAGGACCCCTTTATTCCAACATGCAACTTGGAAATCTATGCTTAAAGTCCGTATGGGTATGAATAGGAGTGGTCACCTAATAGGGCACATTCACTCCCATATATATTTCAGCTCTTGATTCTAGGTGATATGAATTAAGACATCAATCATGCAATATAAATTACAGGGAAAATGTTTTTAAAATGTTGTTCAAATTATCTCCAAGATATTGCAATTCATGTCACATTAAACAACAATCAAATTTCATTTATTTTTTTTAAGAATCTTTAATTTATTTCAAGACTTCTATTTACCTCGAGGTTACATTTAGTTAGAACTCTTAAAATGTCTCATTAAAGGTCAAGAGTAAACTTGATTAAAAAAAAAAGCACTTGTGCTCTCCTTTAGCCAATTGTTAAAGTTTATTTCTAATTCTATGCGGTTTAAATTATATGTTTAGAACCATTCAAGCTTGACATGATTGATGTTGATTGTGGAGTAATGCCTTCACATATTTGATCAACAAAGTAATTCAAATTTTACATTTCCTTAAAGTTATTCCTTATTACTAGGGGTTGTATATGCTGTATTTATATCTTCTATGTAGCTCTTTGCCTAAAATATTTTGAGTCAGTACAAATCTAAGGAGATGTCGAGGGGAACACATTTTTGTGCGTACCTAGATATAATCATGTGAGTGCAAGCACCAAGTTCTTCCGTTAGCATTATGGAGATTGTTCTTTTGTAAGATGATATTCTTAAAATGATTCTCAGCATAAAGCAGTCACCTCAGCTGTTGTTCGAGGCTTGGTTCTTTGGATGCTTGGTGCAACAAAAAGTGAGCCAAAGTAATTGTTTAGGGAGAATGAATATGAGCTCAATATTATTCGGCCATGTAAACACATAAAGAAATGACCACAAAAGGGGATTAGCCAATAAGGCTCTTTGGTAGACCCTCAAAGAGCCAGCTAAAGGGTCGGCTGAACCAATCTTACGAGAGGTCGATCTAAACGAACAACCTTTTTTAAGTTCGATCGAACCCTTAAATCAATCCTTCATGGGTTCGATCAAGTTTGGCTCGACATCTTCTTGGACCTTGAGCTAAATTGTCCCATCTTACTTGGCCCTCCACCAAAGTGCCCCGCTCAAAGCCGCATATGAATCTTTTGACTCAATTCTATGGTTAATTTTTACCCAAACAGTAATTATTCTCTATTTATAATTTTTTTTAATCTTTTTATCTGTTAATTTTAATAAAATATTTTAGTCAAATTAATGGGTTTGAAAGCAATATAAAATAAAGAATTTAGGAATTAATTAAAACTAAGTAATAACCTTAAAGATTTAGTTTGAAGAGTAAAATAATACAATTGGTTACAGTCAAAATTACTATCAAATGGTTTTAAAATATAGATTAAAATTACAAAATAATAGCCAAAATTATTATCAGATGGTTTTGGAAACAATATAAATTAAAGAATTGAGGATTTAATTCAATATGAAATTATAATTTAATGATAAACTTTTAAGCATGAATTTTATCGAAATTATTTGATCTATTGAATATAAAATTTAATTTTATATTGAATAAAACTCTAAACTTTTAATTTTTTTTATTTAACCTATCTGTAAGTATAAAAATCGTAAAATTGATGGTGGGTTACTAGAATGCAAATTAAAAATGCATGAATTTATTAACTATAAAATTGAAAGTTTAAAAATTAAAAAATATATTAAAGTTTATCCATTTTATTAGATATTTTTTAAAATTTATGAAGTAAATAGAGAAAAAAAATATATAATTTAATTAAATTTTAAAACAAAAATAAAATTTAACCCTATGATCTTTTTTTAAAAAATTAAATCTATTTTTGAAATTTAACCATTTCGCTTTGCGCCTGTATTTAATAATTTAATAATTTAATAAAGATGTATTTAATAATTTATTTCATATTTACTAATTTAATTAAAACAAAATAAAATTTTAATTTAATTTAAATTAAAACAAAATTATAATTTATTTAAATTTTCAACAAAATAAAATTCAACCCTATGATATTAAAAAAAAAAAAAAAAGATAAAGATGTATTTAATAATTTATTTCATATTTACTGATTTAACTTGAAAGAAATCTCCACCAACAACATTAATTATGACTAATAATTAATCTAAAATGATAAAAAGTTTACCAAGCAACTCAAATTAAAAGGAAAATCAAATTCCAAATAAGGTAAAAAATGCTTAATAAAGGATAAAATCAGACCAATTTAGAAAGAGGCCAAAGCCAGCTTCATAGATGGAAGCTAAGGACGAACAAATCACATTATTTTCATTAAATAATTTTTATTTTGTCTCCTAATTAGAATTAGTTTATTTATTACTTTAAGATCCATATACTTAGTAAGGTAAAAAATTACTTTATAAACTTTAAAAACAATTAAATGTGTTTTAAAGTGCTTTTCGCAAATCCACTTTAATTATGAACACTTTTACAAAATATTTTGTTTTAATACTTAATTTACAAAAAAGTAAAGAACATCCTCGAGGATTCTTGAAGAACCAGAAAATGTTTAGTTTAGATAAGGGGTAAGGATTTGTTAGTCATTAGGTGTTACAAAAGTTTGTATGATATCAAAATAAATCAATTATTAATGACCACTTTTAATTAAAAAATATTTTAAGTTTAAAGTACAGTGTGAACATATTAAAGAACACAAATAAAAAGAATTTTTTCTTATTTTAAGTTTAAAGTAGGGTGACTAACAACGTATGTTTAATATAGGAGAGTTACCTTTACGATCAAAGACTATGAACGTTGAGATATATATATTTTGTTGTTTAAGGCTTAAGACTATGATTAATCATATTTGATTGATTCTAAATATGCAATCAAAATATTAAAGTTATATATATATAAAAAAAAATTAGACTGACCGAGCAAAAAGAGTTATCTCAACCATTTTTATCCATAAACATTCTGTTTTTTGTCATAGAAAATAACCTAAATCCTAAAAACTCGATCAACTCAACCTAATATGAATTATTTTTATTGGGTTGGATTCAAATATGTGTATATATATTTTTTTAAGATTGGGTTGGACCAAATCAACTCAACCTAATATGAACAATTTTTAAGGGGCAAAACGGTCTTTTCCTCCTCTGTCCTAGCCCAACGGCACCACTTTTCCTCTTCCCCCTATAAAACCCTTACCAGATCCTTCACTTCCTTTCAACAACTAATCTCAGAGCTTGCTTTTCTCTGTAATCTTCATCAATGGCGTTCTCTTCCCTCTCTCTCTCTTTCCTCCTCGCTTTACTTTATCTCTCCGAAGCCACGTCTCCGGGCAGCGGCCTCATGCTGACCCTGGTCAACAACTGCCCGTACCCAATCTGGCCCGCAATCCAGCCCAACGCCGGTCACCCTGTTCTGGAACGCGGCGGCTTCTTCCTCCCATCCTTCTCACACCGCTCCTTCCCAGCTCCCTACGAGCACTGGTCGGGCCGAGTCTGGGCGCGAACCGGCTGCGTCGGTCAGAACGACTTCCTAACCTGCCAGACCGGTGACTGCGGCGGGAAACTCGAATGCAACGGCGCCGGTGGGAAAACCCCAGCCACTCTAGCACAGTTCACCCTCCACCACGGCCACAAAGATTTCTCCTCCTACGGCGTGAGTCTAGTCGATGGCTTTAACATTCCCTTAACCGTGACCCCACATGAAGGCCAAGGCGTGTGCCCTGTGGTGGGCTGTAAAGCCAACCTCCTCGAGACGTGCCCACGTGAGCTCCAGGCCCACGCGCCTGGCCAACACGCTAAAGTGATAGCCTGCAAGAGCGGGTGCGAGGCGTTGAACACTGACGCACTCTGCTGCAGAGGGCAATACAACAGCCCAGAGATCTGCAAGCCGTCCGCGTTTTCATTGTTTTACAAACACGCTTGTCCATCCACTTTCACGTACGCCCACGACACTCCATCGCTGATGCACGAGTGCGCCGCTCCCCATGAGCTCAAAGTCATATTCTGCCATTAATCAATCCATCCCGACATACCAACCCGGTTGCTCTGTGTTATGGAATGTAATTTAGGATTTCTTGTGGTTGTTAATCCGTAAGTGTTGTGTTTCTGTCTTTGCCACTCTTGTTAAATAAAGGGCATTAAAAAAAATTGTTTTTTTTTTTTGCTTTTTTTGAGAGATCTGAGGGAGTTTGGTACAGAGCAGCTGAGAATGAGAAAGGTAAGTGGGGGTGGCTGTGGCATAGGCCAATCCAATCGACGGGCTTCTGGCCACGGCCGTAAAATTAGGAAGTTGTTTCTTTTATGGCTTTTTCACGTGATATGCTGTGATCCTTGCTACTGCTTGTACCTGACCTGCCATGTCTGGCTCTGTTTTAAAGAAAGTTAAAAAGTTTTTTTGAAGTC